ATGGCATTATTATTTCATCTGTTTTCTTCTCGATATATGATTGTGCTTAAGTGTTCCGATACTAACTACTGCAAGAGGGATTTTCCCGGACTGACGACACCAATAATTGTGTTTGGAACGATGCCCACTCAAGATCCATGAATCACAACGACTTTACACACATTTCCGAGGATTTAAAACAAATCATGTTATGTTTACTTGTATTTTACTTTTATCTAATTCTCAGAACAATTTCATAATTTCAAATGTTTTTCATCCACACCGAACAGATCAGGAAAATAAAAGTTGTGGCGAAGGGTCACACAAAGCCCCTTGATCTTCCAGGACAGCTGCTTTTTATCTCACTGACATCTAAAAATTATGTCTCCATATGGGCCTGCTTCTACTTATGAAAAAAAAAATGTTATACTGTATTTAATTGGTTCCTATATAAGAAGCCATTTCCCAAACAAAACATGCATTGAATGGGTTGTTGGTGGGAGGTCAGTATCGTCATCATTACGTATAATGCAGTTTGAAATGTTTGAAGTTTCAATAAACCTCTCATTATTTTGGTTTGGTGCACCAGCTGTACTTGAGTTTTTTTGCGATAATTCACAAGTTTACAAAGGTCTAATTAAAGCAGGGGCGATCCAGAGATTTTTAAAAGGGGGGACCGAAAGGGGAGGGGCAATCGAGAGACAACACTGCCCTAAGGGCGCCCGAGGTATGGAAATTTTTGTTTTCTAGACGCCCGGAAAAATGGTCCTGTTTCGAAAATGACTATTGATTTTTCTAGGGTGAAAATCCCAGTATGAGGATCTAGCATCTTATTTTCCTATACTCTTCCTATATTCCTATACTCTCCCCGACTAGCGAGGCCCCCCCCACCCCATAAATTGGTGCTTGCCGCTACACTCCACTTACAAACATTTAAATCAGTCACTAATTCAAATTCTCTGAGGTTGGTAACTCAAAAAGATTTGACAATGATCTAGAAGTTGTGAATTAAAGTTAAATAGCACATATTATACTGAGGTAATGAAATTAAATCCACAGAATATAACTATGTTAGAAAAAAAATGTAAAATGTTACTTTAAAATACTTAATGCTCTATATGTTAAAGAGCAAATTTTTTTTTTCTCGGTTTGAGACATGTGATGCATTTACTGTACTCTAATAAATTACGCCACCCCAGGAGGATGTTGTGCCAAACACTTTGCCATCCATTATGGTCCTAAATGATCAAGACAACAGTTTCGATTTTGAACTCATGCAAATCACGCAGGTGATCTAAAGGAGTCCACCTGTCCAAGTCCACGTTCAACAAAGCAGACAAAGGTGAGCAGACATGTCATAGGATGTAATATCATTAGGGTAATTTATAGCATGCAAATTGATAATGTTTGGCTGACCCTATGATCTGTATCTTGCAACACCAAAAAAGCAATAAAAAAAAAGTTTGTATTTTTATCAATTATTTTTTTTTTAAATACCATAGAAGGCATGTGCACAAAGGTGATAAACTAATCATTTTTCTTATTGGGCCTTATCAAGCTGAGTGAGTACATAATAAAAAAAAATCATTTTATTTACTTGATAAGTTATATTATGAATAACACAGTTAATCTTTTGCTAGAGGAAAATCTGGTACTTAAAATTGGGCGTAAAATAGGGGCAGGGGCTTATAGAACTATGATAAATGAAATGTTGGCCTTTTTATATATCCTGATTGCAAGTTGAAAGTTTACTAATAATAAATTTGACTAATGGCCTGCCCTACTGATCTTCACACCTCTATCGCTTGTAGTTCAAGGAGAAATAATAGAAGAACTATCATAACCAAATCTTTAAAGTCATATTTTATAAGTTGTATTACCTTTCACGAATCACGAATCAGAAAATACTTTATCATAATGTACCATAGTTCTCAGGTATAAGCTCACCCATTTGAACACAAAATTGATTTTGGTGCTAATAATACTGTCAGTACATGGGATATCCTCTGTTTACACAAAAATGGTATAATTTCAAATAAAATGTGTTGTGTTGTGTTGATCACTGCCATTGAGTAGGCCTGCTGTATACTAAGTAATAAATTGGCATAAAAGAAAATAATGGGATCGCCCATAAGCAGCCTGCGTATTGTTCAGTATTCGGGCACAGGTACTGTGATAGGCCTACTGTACAGTACGGATGGTTGATCTTGTGTTTAAATGTGGGCACCAAATTTTATACCTCTATGCTTATATTTATAATAGGCCTATCATTACATTATTGATATCTTTTGGTGAAGCTGAGCATGTCAACCTAGTCCAGCCTTAGTACTTGAGTGAACTTGAAGAAGTGAACTTAAATTTAAGCACAGATCCTATATAAAATATATGTACACTGTAGGCCTATAGGATGTGTAATTTAAGGAATGCTAAAATATAATTATGACTCAACTTACAATCTATTGAGTAAACCTTCAAATAATTCCCAGTGCTACTATTAAACATGCCCTTGACAGTCACTCTTGGAAACCAGACACTTCTAACTGTTTTGAGACAACAAAAATATAATAAAAAGAATGCAGATGTGTCCTGGGTACTACGATGGACAACGATGTTATAAACCAACTAATTCCGGCAATCCCACTTGGTGGTCTTAGTAGCCGCTGGTGGGAGGGTGGATGGACACCCAGTAGCAAGAAAAAAAAAAACAGCTGAACAAAGGACGGATGAACTCGGTTAACCATTCTTTAGTTTAAGTAGTAGGCTTTAAGCCGGGTAATCACTGCGTTGTGCGACACGACAAATCCAACTCCGGTCTATGTGAGCAATAGATGATGTGACACCGTCTGCTGATTGTCGGTGGCAGTCTGAGCCAATCGTCATTAAAAACGATCCGTTGCGCGGGTCGTCGTCACGTTACATTCTTTTTAAAATTGCGTCGGCTAGTGACCGTTGTGCGCACATAGAAGAATTTTTTTTTTAACCCTACCTACTGAAAGAAATTTGATATAAAGTAAATGAAATCTTTCGTCATTAGAAAGATATAAAATAAACAATTGAATCAAAATTTATGCAATAATACGCCAAATGCACAATTACTTTTTAAGGCATGAATATTATAAAAAGAAATGGGGTAAACATCGAGATTAATCACATAGAGGAGGTGCCATGGTGGGGCTGAGGCTGAAGTGATCTGGACCCTCCATCTGTAATATCTTCTCTCTAAGAGAATAGAGTGCTGCAGAAATGTATTGATGCTATCGCAAATACCTCTGCCATAGGATATATACAGTCTAGAAATTCAACATTCCCTTATTTATATTTTGAATTTTGATTTCCCTACCTTAAAAATGTAGCAAAAGTAGGGATATCGGATTATTTTTCAGTTTTACCATAAGTATTCAAATAAAGTCATGATTTTGGCACTGGTAATATCTGTAAATCAAAATACAAATTGTATAAATATTGTAACCTAATATCTATCTTTTTTAATAATTCTTGAGTAGTCTAACATTTGACAATAACATAAGACTGGGTCATTATAATCAATTGCTGAATTGTCCTGACATCACTCACAGAGAATATGATCAACTGAACTTTTACCAAAACTAAATAAAGTACAATTCTGTGTCATTTATACTATTTAAATGTAGAATATTTAACCTTGAACTTCATATGACTCTGACTAGTTATGTGTGTGTGGCTTTTGTAGTGCATAATGGTTTGGACATTTTCACAATGTTGCTATATTATGTTAATGCACTTTTACAAAACGGCGGCCAAGATATGATCACCTATTACAAACAACAATGTATTTTAATTAAGTTTAGAGAATTTTGGTGAAGTTTAAAGTCATACTATGTATTAAAGCAATTTCATCTAAATTAACTAACAGGTGCAATTACATTTGAATTTGAAGTTTGTGTTTCATTTTTTACTCATAAGTGCAATACAACTTAAATTTAACAATCATTATGCATTACCTTTTCATCACGTGACTTCTTAAACTTAAACCCATAGAGGTTTATATGTAGGCATTGCAATACAAGTTAGAATTGTGTCAGAAATCCTGACCAATGCAAATAACGTTGCAAAACCTTGTATAAGGTGGACCTACCAAGTCTCATGCATTGGACATGAGACTCGCGCATTTGAGGTAATCCTCAAGCCGTCGTCATGCTTAAGACCCAAAACTTCAAGCAATGTATACACTTTCTTATGAACTGAGGTTGAAATTGCTTAAAAATTAAGAACAAACTGAGGCTGAGGGAATGTAAAATGAGATTATTTTTTTTAAATAAAAAATCCAACAAATCATATACTGTAAGTACCTTATTTGCAGTAGGTGTGACTATAATACCCTCTATAATACAGTACCGTACGGTAATATACTGCTGTACAATGATAATTTTTGAATGTTTGAAAAATGTGTCAAAATAAGAACACAATAAGAACATTTTGAGCTTGAATCGACAAAAAAGTAAGAACATTAAGCCTGGGCAAAATTTTACTGGTTCTTATATAAAAAAAAAAGTGTGTGCTCCCAAATAAAAATATATGAAGGCCTTTAATTATAATTTAGCTCTCTCCACTTACAGTACATGTCCAACTTCTTATATTGTTATCTTTTATCTACCCAACTAGCTACAATGCACTAACACTTTACCAAGAACTGTCAGATAAGATAAAAGAAAAAAAACAAAACAACCAAGTACAGTACACACTTCTACATCACCATGACAGTTTCTATCACTATTCTATTGGCTTCTTGTGGATGTTATTGACGAGAAAATTTGTAGATTTGTAACAGAATTTTAGTTAATACCCTAAAGTGGTAGACATGGCATATCCAGGCATTTAGGGGGAAAAAATTCTTGAAGTGGGTGCCCCGGGACCTCTAGAATCAAAATACAAACCTACAAATTCATCAAATTCGGCTTGATGGAATATCGGGGAGCAGCGGTAAGCCCTGAAGCTAGGACAGGAACTACATCAAAAACAATATTTTTTTAATGTGCACTCACCAGACCATTACAAAGACTGACAGCAATTTTGGATCCTTCATGATGTCTTGAATGACCGCTGAAATGACAGTTCTCTATCTCTGGAATGTATTCCTCCATAATGCTGTTACCATTTTTCCTCCTCTGCACAGCGAATCCAGGTGCTACTAAATCATCATTGATTGACAATTCTAGATGAAATTCCTCACCGAATCCCTCTACCTTATAATGGACGGCACTGGCTTTCCCATCATCCGATAAACCACGCCTCTTACGGGATGGATACAGATTGTGCGACAGATAGCTACCTTTGCTATTAACTTGGAATGGTATAACTATTTGATAATCTAAAAGAAAAAAAAATAAGTAAAACTCAATCAGAATATAGAGTGCTATAGTAATTCTTTTCATCTCATTAAAAATCAAGTTTTGGTTAGTGCAAATGTAAAAGCGATTTTAAGTAATAAAGTTCCCATTGTCTTTCTGTAGATTTTATGTTTTCTGTATGATTGTATGTAGATGTTAAAGGATTTTTTTTCATGACCAAACACCTAATCCTCATATCAGAATGAGATTTAGTTCAGTATTGTCTATTAGCTAACTTTCCAACAGAAAATAATATAATTTTTTCATTGACATTAAAAACATTCATTATCATGATCAGCACAATAACTACCGCAATAATTACATTGGAACAAAACCATACTAAAGCATAATTTACAGTAAATTTTAATGAAAAATTTCATATGTAATGTTGTTTCTTGAAAATCTTTTCTGGCATGTGTTTGTAGTAATCCAGGACATACTCAGCACATCAACTGAGCATGAATGAATGCTAGTGACTATTAATCCTGTGATCTGACCTACCAATTAAAGATAATTTACAACTTGTTACCACACACACACTGTAGTCATTGTATTCAATAATATAGGGAGAAACAAGAGTTATTTATTTGAAGTATTAAGATAGACAAGACTTGTATAGTTAAAAAGCAAACAAAGCCTGCTGCTTGAATTTACAGTTTCCCATTAAAAGGTTGTATTGAATATTGTACAAAGGACAACATGTATATTTTTAACTCATCTAAGCATGGAGCTATTAAAATACAGGCGTATATGTTTAAAAAAAAACCATGAAAACACTTACATTAATAAAATAAGAGACAGCTAAAAACAAAATTACTATTTATTATATATACAAGAATTTAAAGAAGATAAAAAGCCAGTGTGAATCAAACTTAAACAACTGACCAATCAGAATACGGCCAGGAATATGCGTCTCCAAACACACGTGTTGTCCGACAAATGCACGTGTTTGCGTAATTTTTACTGTTTTTTTTAATAGTTGCTAAGGTGGGACCTTAGCAACAATATCCAAGGGGCGAGGCTTAGCGGTGCGGTCCATTGTCAGCAAGATGAGAAAAGTTAGTTTACTGTCATAGACTCAATGGGGTCATTGTAAGGTTTCAGGGCCGGATCTGGGTTGTACTTTATTGGGGGATTCAAAATGATTTCAAAAAACCCCAAAATTGTATCGTATTGTACAGTAAATAGACCTATTATGCTGTCTCTTATACACATCTAGATGTGTATAAGAGACAGATCATATACTGTAAGTACCTTATTTGCAGTAGGTGTGACTATAATACCCTCTATAATACAGTACCGTACGGTAATATACTGCTGTACAATGATAATTTTTGAATGTTTGAAAAATGTGTCAAAATAAGAACACAATAAGAACATTTTGAGCTTGAATCGACAAAAAAGTAAGAACACTAAGCCTGGGCAAAATTTTACTGGTTCTTATATAAAAAAAAGTGTGCTCCCAAATAAAAATATATGTAAGCCTTTAATTATGATTTAGCTCTCTCCACTTACATGTCCAACTTCTTATATTGTTATCTTTTATCTACCCAACTAGCTACAATGCACTAAGTGAATCAAACTTAAACAACTGACCATTCAGAATACGGCCAGGAATATGCGTCTCTTCCTCCAAACACACGTGTTGTCCGACAAACGCACGTGTTTGCGTGATTTTTACTGTTTTTTTTAATAGTTGCTAAGGTGGGACCTTAGCAACAATATCCAAGTGGCGAGGCTTAGCGGTGCGGTCCATTGTCAGCAAGATGAGAAAAGTTAGTTTACTGTCATAGACTCAATGGGGTCATTGTAAGGTTTTAGGGCCGGATCTGGGTTGTACTTTAGAGGGGGATTCAAAATGATTCCAAAAAACCCCAAAATTGTATCGTATTGTACAGTAAATAGACCTATTATGTGTGTATGCATACAAAAAAAAAAATTGAGTAGTTGCATGTACGTATTTTCTTTTCCATGAATCGATGAACCCCAAAAAGAAAGTGGGGGGGGAGGGCGGCCAGAAAAATTTTGATTTCTAAATGGCGGGAAATGAGCTTCTCAATGTAACAAAAAAACAAAACAAAAAACAAAAACAAAAAATTTCAGCTCACAGGTCCTGAAAAGGTAAGTCTGGATTTTTTTTGTTTTTTTTTTCTTTTTTTTTTTTTTTTTTGCCCAAGGACCCCCTTTAGATCCACCAATGGGTTTGCTGATCTGCGTTTTCTGACAAATTTAGTAGACTGTAAACTGGTCATGAATGTCAAGCCAAATAATATATATATAGTAAAAAATGTAATGACAGCTCAATGGAGGAAAAATCAATGTTATAAAAAAATATATAGTTTAACAAACCACAGGCATTTAAAAATGTCAAATTCCATATTATTACAGTACATTTCAATTTTCAGTATAAAACTAACAGGCAAAATATTTATTACACGAATCGATTTCCTCATCCCATCTTCAATAAACATTCAAACTTAAATATTTTATTTTAAACAATTTTTCTGGTAAATGTCACCAGCAGCAAAGGTTCTCAAAGCCTTTCCGGCTTTCGTCAAATTAATCCCTTGGATACAGCCCCTACTTGTATGGGATCAAGTGACTGACACATGGGCTGACAAGTCAAGGCTTAAGAATATTAAATCATCACATGAACAGCTTCTGCTAGTCCTTGCATGCTAGGCAACATTCCAGCCCTACCAACATTTATTGATTTATTCCACTGTTAAGACCAACACTATTTTTATGAGTCTGGCCAAGCCCTTGCTATCATCATGGAGGTATAATACCTTCATGCTATCATTGTATCACATCTAAGCAAGTACTGTAATACAAAAGAGAATATTGAAGATTATTTATATATTTCTGAATTAGAAAGGATTGATGAATAGATAGACAATGGATCATCTATTTACTCATCTTTTTATTTTTGCTTGTTGCAGATTTGATTATTTCAATTTTAAATTTCCTGCCAACTTGACTTTTATTATTTAACTTTCACTGTGATGCAATTTTAAAATGCTGTTGAATTTTAGTTTTCTAGAATTTTAGCTCCCCTTAATATTAACTTCTCTTTTATTTTGTAAATTTGTATTCTTATCTATTTTATTGTTAGAATGTATTTTAAGGGAATTTGTGCAATATGAATGAATTATCATTATTGGTGGATGAATAAATGGATGAATGAATGGATAAATGAATAAATATGGAAAGATAACATGTTATGTATATGTAAGGAATGAATTCATAAATAAATGAATGGAATCTTCCATTCATTTTCTAATTTGGTATTAGGTACATACATGCAATAAGTAATATATGATATAATATAAATATAAAACTATTTTTTTTAAATATTTAAGTTTTGTTATTCATAATAATAACATTATTATAGACACATAACCTTGCAGGGGTCCCAAGTCTCCCGGAGGTTGCAGGAATCTCTCAGAAATCAGGACGGCCTGCAATTAAGCAACAATCTCCTGGAAAATAGCCCATCTCCTGCAAATTCATTATTTGCATGAATTTTCAAGGAAGTCAATGCCAACTGTTATCACCATGGCCAGCAAAATAAAATTAATATGTTAAGAGTTAGCTTTTTTAACCACATCTCCCTGAAGTCACTTCTTCCAACTTGGGACTTGGTAATAATTGCCTACAGCAAATTCATTGACACTAAATGACAATCACTGTCAATCACCCTAAACGCCTTTGAAATACACAACTTCCACCAATAATCACTATCCCCATTATCAAGGTAATCTCATTTTAATTACAGTTACTTTAATTTATATCTACTTTAGCAAAATGATATATATCACACCAATATTTGGATAAGCTGTCAAATTATAAAGATAATTTAATTAAGCTGGCAACTGGCCTTGTTAATGAGCTATCAGGTCGTCCATTAAGATTTTTAATATACTGTAATGTGACTGTCTGAGTCCTCAGAAGGGTTAATGGTTTTAGCTTAGTCTGATCTTGGTCAAGTTCTCATTTGAACTTTGCACAGAAAGAGCATTCTGAAATGTGGACACTAACCCACCCTTATTACAGTACATAACGTTCATGAGCACAACATAAAATAGCTGTCCTAGAACATCATCCTTCCAGGCACATACCATTTTACAGCATACAGTACATCCTTCAAGGTGCATCTCCCTACTTATAACATCCATCCATCGCAGTCTTTTTGTTCTTGTGAAAGATTATTACCTTACTCATTGGATTAATATAATGAGCACAAATCCTCCTCCATTCCTGAGCTGCAGAGGACACCTATCAGTACCACAGACCGATACATTCACTACCACATTTATCAGGTTCCCTCAATTAATCCCAGGTGGAGACACAAACGTAGGTGAAAAGTGTTTCGCACAAAAACACATGAGAATTGAACATGGTAGGGTTCAAGCTCCTGACTCCAATTAGAACCAGAATCGAAAAATAGCTGCAACAACTGTTGCAGCCACTATTTGCTTTTGTTTTAATAATTTAAATGATGGTACTTCATAAGCCTAATTTTAAAACAACAATAAAGAAAGGTTGTAGTACGGGCTGGATCCCATATAGAGCTAAATCTCAGCAATGTGATGCAAACTTCTAAAGAAATCCTATTTAACACTTGACACACAAGTGTGGGTTTTTTCCTAATACACTAATCACATTGAGTGATGAGTGAAGTGTATTTCGAATTCTTTTTATAACAATGTCTGAGTTTAGCATTACATAACTTAGTGGGGTAACTTTACAAATGGTCGAATTAGCACCAGTTTCCTATTATAGATAAAAGTGAGCATTTCTGAAATTCAAGAAGATTGAATTTGGAATTATCTGAAAGTCAATACTCTTTATTTTTAAAATTCTGTGTTAAGGCCTATAAAAGCCTTGCTGTAATAGCAAAAGTAATTGAATTTAACTCACGTAGTGCGATATTTCAGGTTTTATCTCAGTGTTAAACAGTAAGCCGCAGTATTTTAAA